CCAGAACCCCTCACACCCCAGGAAGTCCTCGCTAGCACAGGGATTTGGGGACCTCGAGGAGCAATGGGATGTGCCCCCCAGGCTGGGACATGTCCCCTGAGCCGGGACAGACCTGGAGCACGATGGCCGGCACCGAAAAAATCATGGCCTCGTTGAACACGGGGTTGGTGTCATCCCTCTTCACCGCCGTCTTCTTCTTGCTGATCTTCCTCCCGTCCTGCAGCAGGTACACCTTGACAAAGGGATCTGCTCGGGGTGGGGGAGAGAAGAACCCCGGGGTCAGTCATGCGATTCCCCTGCGATATGGAGAAAGTGGGGGAACCCATCTCTGGTGGACCTTCCTGGTAGGGTCTGTCCTCGATGGGAGCCACTCCAATAAATATCCATGTAGCGCAGTAGTATAAAGCAGGATGAAAGCCCACCTCCAGCCCACAGAAGACCGAGGGACCCCTGTGCCCACCCGGCATACCCTGCTCACCTGCAGTCACTTTGCCGTTGGTCCACACGAGGTTCTTGGCTTTGACCACCACCACCGTCAGGCGCTCAGCCGTGGGCAGGTAGCTCAGGGAGAGCAGGATCTCCCCCACCGTGTCCACTGCCTGTGGGACACAATGTCCCATCACCCATCGACCCCAGCCCCCGGGGAGGAGAAACCCCCAAAAAAACCTGTGTGGGAGATAGACCACACCCCCCTGCTCACCTTGTTCATGTCCTGCAGGTAGAGCCAGGCGTTGAAGGGACGCACGGCCAGGTCCAGGTCGGAGAGCTTGAGCTCGGCCACGCCGGTGCTGACATTTCTCTCGTCCTCGTCGATGCCGAAGACGGAGAAGCGCAGGCTGTTCTCCTCCAGCGCCACCGGGTCCAGTGGGATGGAGAAGCGCTCGTCGAAGGCCACGGTGTAGGCGCTCCGCTGAATCTGCCACGGGGAAGGAGGGGGATTGCCTTGATACCCGCCAGGTTTTGGGGCCGTGTCCGAGATCTACCCCGTTTCTCTCGTGGGAACTGCGAGGAGCGCATGGCTTTGGGGTGGTGAGGGCAGGGCATCCCCCAGCCCAAAGCAGCGGGGGGGTCCCAGCCTCGATGGGGACAAAAGTTATTTCCCACCTGATCGCAGCAGCGGCTCGGCAATTGAGGTACAAAATAGGGGCCATGACACGCCCCATTGCCCATTAATTCTTTTAATTAAAAATTTAAGGTTGGTCTGGTGCTCTCAGGTGCAAGAGCCAGGCATCCCTGCGTGCTGGGAGCTCGGATGTGTCACTGGCTCAGCCGCTACAGGCTACAGGATTTGGCCAAGGGGGTGTAACCCCCAGCCCCTCTCCAAGCCAGAGCCGACGGGCTTCACAAGCCCTAAACGTGCCAACTGGGGACAATGCTTTTTGCCAGACATCGTCTTTACGTCACATCATTCACTTGGAGCAAACGCAGCAGCAACTCCCCGGGGGGGTGCTGGTCACTACCCGGTCCCAAAGCGCTGGTGGGGGGAACTGCTCTGATGGCTTTAGAGACTGTTTTTCCCCTACTCCAGCTCTATTTCTTTCGGCATCCAAGGTACCACCCACAAATCAGGGTTTTGTCCTAAAAGGAGGCCTGGTGCCCCCACGGGATGGAAAGCCACAGCCTTGGATGGCGCAGAGCAAAGCAGAGCCACCAGCTCCCTGCCACCCATCCAAAGCCAGGTGCTGCGGTGGAAAAGGGATCCCGCTGCAGGACCAGGGGGCTCAGCCCTGAACCCATCCAGCTTCATCACCCCAAGAGCCACCCAGACTCCCCAGCAGCAGTGGGGAGATGGTTCATCTCATCCCAAGGACTTTCCCACATCTGTCTGTCTTCTCCTAGACGTGCTCCATCCCTGGGATGAGGGACACAAAGCAGCTCGCGAGGCGGTACCTTCCATCATCCCCTTCCGAGCACAGCGGTCCCACGCTCTCCCATCGGATACCACCAGTCCCTAGAGTCCCCGGGGGATTAAAGTACCTCTATGGGAAAAGCAGATCTGCAGCTATCTGCTTTGTAGGGCTGACCCTGTCTGTCCGCAGCCGACATTATGTTTTGGGATCTCTGGATGAAAGGTACAACAGAGATGTTAGCTGCTATTTAAAAAAACCCACAACATAAGTACTGTAAAGCATTAAAGGAAAAGAACCAAATGTGTCTTTATGACTTGTCTCAGGACAGCAAAAGAGGGTAAATAGAGCTGGTGAATTATAAATAATGATGCTAAATAATAAATATCTCCAGAGCATAAATAACGAGCCTGATCTTTGGATGGAAAAAATGGTCTTAAAAGGGCACTGTGGAAATATTTTAAAGGCGGTGGTTTTGTGCTCCCTGGAAAGGTACCTCCACCCTGGAAAGGTACCGGTGCCACCACCCGGATAGTAGCATGAAGCTTTCTGCTCCTTTCTGGAATAACTTGATTAAACCAAACTGACTGACCCTGAGCTTTGCAACAAGCAGCTGCTGAAAGAAAACTGAGGCTCCTGCTTTCTGACAGCAGCTTTTGGGGCACTTAAAAAGGGATGTTTCACCCCCAAAACACCCCTGGTTCTGGCCCTGCCGGTGCCACCACCCGGATCTTCGGCTGCCACATCCTGCGCGGGGAGGGAAAGCATCGTGGCTGCTGCAGAAAGGAGAGGCGGCTGCGGGGCGCCGTGCTCGGGCTTCGTTAGGGTGAGTCGAGCGTGCGGGGACACAGCACGACACTGGCAGCATGCACCCAAAATGCCGCCTCTCCCCAAATCCCACCCCCCCCGGAACACTTCCTCCACCTTCCGCAGCATCCCTGGCCCCCAGAGCAGGGAAAGTTGAGCAGGAAAACTTGCTGCAAACTAAGCTCAAAGGTGACAAAGTCACCGCACGTCCTGGTCAAGAGAGAAATTTCTGCCTCTGCTGGGTCTCTGATGCACAAACCCATCTGGGACCCCCCTGTGCCACAGAACGCTGAACACCCCCGAGCAGGGCTCCAAAAATCCCGTGCCAACCGCACCCAGCCCCAGCGTGTCCAGACCTCCCTATTCCCAAGGCCCCATCACTGTCTTGGGGAGCTTGGCCAAGGGATGCTGTGACCCAAAAACAAATGCTGCAGCGGGCGCGTGGTGAGCGATGACATGTACACACAGGGTTTTCGTGCAAAGAGGGGCAAGCGGCTCACCCGGGAGATGCCGACGATCTGCTCGGCCGGGAGCAGGCTGATGCGCATGAAGCAGGACTCGAAGCGAGCGTCCTCCTTCTCCAGCAGGTCCTTGCCCTGCAGCAGCGTCACGTGCAAGGTGGCCGCCTTCCCGTCGTACTCCATGGAGACCTCCACCTGCCCCACCGTGAAATCCTGCCCAAAGTTGTTCCCGATGGAGGAGATGGAGCTGAGGGAGTCAGCCGAGATAGATTTCTTCAGGGGGCCATAGGGGGCCAAGCCCAGGTCTTTGCTCATCAGCTCCAGGCTCCCCAGCTCGTTAATGCTCTCGAAGGTGTCATCTGCCCGCAGGCTGGTCTTGCGGATGGGTGAGGTCTTATCCAGCGCCCTCTGCGAGCCCGGGGCCATCCCTCGCTGCGAACAGAGAAAGAAAAAACCAGGCGATGCAATCCCATCCCTCCGTACAAAGCCGGGGACAGCTGGGATTCACTGGCGCCTTTTTGGATGCCTTACAGCCCCTGCTTGGCCTCAAGCTGCCGCGGCAGCAAACCCTGCACCTCCTGCAGCTCCCAAGCCCTATTTACAGCTCCGCACTGATCCCCTCAAACTCTCCAGCAGCACCAGGTCACCGCCCGTGGCTCTTCCCTGCTGCGAGAGGATGCGGGTGATGTTTTTGCCCCTCCAGCGGCTCGCGTGTTGCAAAGGGAAAGGAGGCGAGCCAAACATTCCACCTTTTTACCTTGTGTTTGACATCCGAATACGCCGCCCCGTACTTTTGCTCCAGGTATCGGTAGTCGTAGTTGGGGAAGGGGGAAGGCGCCGGGTAGCTGCCGGAGCGCCAGAGCTTCCAGAGGTTGACGGCGGCTATCCCCAGCAGTGCCAAGGCGCCAGCGGCGTAGATGCCGATCTCCCACCGAGGTGGGCTCGTGGTGACTGCGAGGGGACAAGAGGCACTGTCAGCTGGCCACGACCCCGGGACAGAGGCTTCATCCTCTGCTGCTCCAACGCCAGAAACTCAGCTCTAAGCTATGAGGATGGGATCGGCCAAGGGGGGGGATAAACCACAGCGTCCCACTTGGGTGGATTGCAAATGGTGTCAGGCAGCAGCTTTGCAAGCCAAAAAAATCACGGTCCTCGCTTTGCTTTCCTGGGAGGTGAAGTGGACATGTATTTCAGCCCTGTTCCCCAGCAAACAAGGAAAATCAGTGAATGGCTGCATCACCCAGGGGTGCTGGGGGGTCCTTTCACCAGCTACAAATCCATCCTGCTTACAGATGTGCTCAGTGCACATCTGCATCGCCCTTTCCACCACAGGGAAACCCTCACTGCTGCCTGGTTTCCCACAGGCTGGGGATGCCAAGAAAATCCAGAAATAGGAAAAAAAAAAAACAACAAACCAAACAACCAACCAGCCAAACAAAAAGCTTTTGGAAAAACCCCGCAACTGCTGCTGATGTGATCCAGGGAGGAGAAAGCCCGGGCTTGCAGCTGCAAAGCGGGGAGGACAGCAGCCCTGTGATGGTACACTGAGCAGTTGTTGCTGCATTGCACCAGCCTCCATCACACCCGCGACTGAACCAATACCAATCACTCAGTGTAACACACAAAAAAAAAGGGGGGGGGGAGCGGGGGGAGATTTCTCATTACGGAGCGCTGCCGGGGAGTCCTCCCGCGTCACGCCACGGCACTCCCTCCTTCAGCAGCAGCTTCAGAGCCAGAGAAAGCCCAAGCCAGGCTTATTCCCACATCACATCTGAGCGGAGGGACAACCCGCTGCTCCCCCCCCTCCCCAAACCTCCTCCGGCAGGAGCCAGCAAAGGGATGCATCAAAAGGAACCAACTATTCGCATCCAAAGCGCCTAATTTTGAACCCTCCAGAGGGCCACGAGCAGCCCAGAGGGATCTCGTGGGTTAAAGCCTCGGGGTAGGAGCCAGGTCCTGCTTCCTCCACCCCAACCCAAACCCCTTATGATCTGCAAAGGGCTGAGATTTGTCCCCCGCATCCCCGGCTAAGGATACTGGGGGAAGCGCTGCAGCTTTCTAGGGCACTCCCGCGCACGGAGGTTTTCGGCACCATCCAGTTCCAAGGAGCTCACATGCTCCTGCTACGGCAGGGGTGCAAAATTGGGGCAAAATAACCCTTTACTGGCTCCTACTTCTGAATAACTACAGGTACAAATCCCAGCTGAGCTGGAAACCTGCCTCCTACTCGTACCTGCCCCTTTTCTAGGGCTGAGCACCTAATGTTGGAAAGTTTGGGGGTTTTAAGAGTTTTACCCTTGTATTAGGAAACTAAACCCCGTGTGCACATGCAGCAAAGGGTTCCTCCTGCAGAAAGCAGCGCTCGGCGTGCAAGCCCCGGCCAGCTCTGCCCCCAAAACCCTTCCCCCGGGCTCGCTCAGAAGTACTCACCGCTTAAGCGGTATCTGCTTACGTGACCGTTGTCCATGGCAAACGCTCCCCACTAGCGGGACAGCCTGCAATGCGTGAGACAATGAATTAGGATAAAGGGAAAAAATTAAAAAGTAGCTGCCTTTTGAGTTTTTAGCAGGGATGCTAAATAGCTGCTCCATCGCTCCTGGCCTTGGCTCCTCTTCCAGGCACAGAGCAAACATGCGCTAAAGCATCTCAGCCACTAATAGAGGAGCTACAGAAGGGACTGAAAACCCCACGGGAACCAGGAGAGCGGCCATGCCGAGACGCAGAGCCGCATGGTTTACCTCGGGAGTATTTAACGGGTGACATTTCCAATCACACTCTGCGTGGATGTCTCCCCTCCAGGAGCCCTTTAAGCCCTTTGCTGCTTTTCTAATCTCTTTTCCAGCTTAAATCTTGCCTTTGCTTTTTGTGGCTTTCCTCAGCCTCACCCGAGGGGCTGCTCTGCCCGCGGCTCTGCTGTGGCCACGTGCAAGAGGAGCAGCCCAATTTCTGGGTCGCTGCAGGGTTAGATGATGCTGTTCCCCAGGAACTGATTCCTGCAGTGGGAAAGCTTGATTGCCTTCCTCCCCAAAGGGTTTTCCCAGGTGAGGCGCACGTGAGATCCATCCTAAATATAAGGAAGCTGCTCTTCCAAGACAGATCCCAGTGAAGGCACCGTGTGATGCCAAAGGCGATTTATCCAAGCCAGCTATTTCCCGCTATGCTAAGGGAGTTTGGGATCCCCTGCAAACATCCAAAAAGCAAATCCAACGCAAACGGAGCCAGCACCCCTCTTGCTACCTGGCATCTGTGCCGGGAGATCGCGGGCCACGGGCCGCTGATGCGATCCCACAGACCACAATCCCTGAACCCCAAGCCCAGGGACACATCTTCAGCACAGCACTTAAAATCTGCCCACCGTCCCCATCAGAGCCCCCCCAAACCCTCTGCAAAACTCACACAGCCCCAAAGCCCACTCGTCACGTGGGAGGAAGAGCTGGATTTGCCTCAGATGGACAGTCACTCGATATTTGGGTATCATCTTCCAGCTCACCTCGGATGCTCATAGATTCAGGCACTGTAGGGGTGATCAACCCTCGCAAAACCATCCAGGCTTGGATTTTAAGAGGCAAAGGTGGAAATTGCAGTGCATTATAGCATAAAATATCAGCCACGTTGGCCTGACGTGGCTGGGGGACGCCCTCTGCAAGGGCCACGTGGTCCACCCTTGGGATAACAGCAGGGGGAGGGTTTTTTCCTAAACGTAATCGAGTCACTAACCCAAAACTACAGCAAGGCTGGGACAGGGCTGGTAGATGTCCGTCTTGTCCCCCAACTTCTTTCCCCAGGCATAAACCTCTGTGTGCAATGGATAAACACTCAGTAAAATCTTGGCTGAGAACGTGCTAAACTCATGTCATGTATGGACTGAGCTCAGCTTAAGGGACACTTTGCTGTTTAGTGCTGGATATCCACATTGACATCTTAACAGTGCAGCGCTATGGAGATTTACACAAAACAGCCTCTTTTTATGTCCTGAAAAACTACCGTGACTAATTAAGAGGCTCCATTTCTTTCGATGTTTCCTGGTGGTTTTTTTTTTTTTAATATGAAAATACAGACGTTTTCAGGACCAACTTTCTCTGCAGAAGGGCAAACATCCCTTTTAAAAACCCTCCATTTCTTTCCCATTTCTTTCCAATTTCTTTTGGAAGTTGGAAAGAATTTCCAGTTTTACATTTCTTCCAAAGCTTTTTCCCCCAAAACATCCTTTTCTAATGAGCTCTAAGCAGCAACTTAACCAGATTTCAAAAGGCACCACCCAGAGAGACACCGAGTGCCTGCAGTGTTCAGCACAGGAATTAAATTAGGTGGTATTTTCCTATTAGCAAAACAGTGTCAGCCTTTCCTGAGCAAGCAAATGAGGGTGCGAGGCGCTCGGGGAAGGGATTTATTGCATGTTAACTAAGCTCTTCCCTGAGACGCTCTGTCGTCCCCCCGACCTGCCTTTCAAATCCTTTCCTAGGAAATCAAATCCAAGGGATTAGGAGGGGACAGGCACCGCTCTCCCAGCTCTGGCGGCACAGGGATAGCTGGTTTTTCCCCCGTGGAGACGTCAAGGCTCGGCAGAGCCCCGGCTCAGAGGGTGCAGAGCCTCCTCCGACCGCCACGGCATCCCTCTGCTGAGGGATGGGGCAGCTCCGCTTTCCTCACGAGCTGCTGCAGAGCTCGGGATACCTTTTCCTGCCTAGGGGGGATGATAAAATGGATCGATGGGGGGAAAGAAAAGCCACATGTCCCCTCTGGAAGAAGGGGGGGGGGGAATGACCCCCAGACTTAGGGGGGGTTGACACCTCACTGCTGTTTTGGCATCGTGACCATCCGAGGCCCGAAACAGCTCGCACAGAAACCCTGGTTGCTGGTCCCACAGCACCTGGACCAACACGGGTTGGACCGACAGGGGTACGGCTCCGCACTGTGCAGACACCCTCCAGAGCACGCTGCAATCCTGAAATTTCACAATCCAAGTTGGAAACCGCAGCAGCGATCTCTGTGTGCATCCTTTCCTTTTTGCCCTAACCCAGACACCAATGCCTGGTTTCGCCGGGTGCCTGAGACCGGGCTAAACTCTTCTCACTGGTGAACTTGGCCCTCCGGCAATACCCCTCCTCTCTTCCAGCACCGACCCTGCTGCTCGCACGCACCCATCCGGGGCTCTGAGCAAGGCTTTTCCACCCTTCTCCATCTCTCTCCTGCTGGAGGGGGAAAGCCCTCTCTGGCCTCGATCCGCAAGGCAGAAAAGTAGGATCAAGTTTGCTGCTGGCACATTTGTCAAAAAAAAAACCCAACAACAACAACAAAAAACAAAACCAAAACAAACCAACACAAAAGAACCCAACACATCCAAAACTTGACAAAACACAAAGGTTTGGGCTCTGCCCCTCATTCATGCTCGACCCCAAACTCGCTCACCCATTGCCCTCCCCATCCTAACACTGGAGCTGCAGGAGACGAAGCAGCCACCTCCCCAGCAGACCTACACCTCGGGCAACAAGCGGTGCACTGATCCCACCTGATTTACACCCAAACACGACAACCCTGCACCATCCTGCACCCCCCATGGCCACAAGGCTCGGCGTGAGAAATGCCAGCTTTACCACTGATAAAAGCCTGGATCCTTCCCAACGCTTATTGCCGTATTTTACCTGGGCAGGTAAAAAACACCGCGGGCAGGAAAAAAATCTTTGGGGCTCCGCATAGAACAGCGGGGACCCTCCTCGCAGCCTCCGGCATTAGCTGAGCAGCAGCAGCGTGTTCGCTCCCCAGCCATCCCCGAGAAGGGAGAGAAATGCAGCAATTTCCAAGCTAACCGAGATGGGGAAGCAGCAGAGCGACTGTGCAGCGGCGAGTCTCGGGGAGCCGGCACTCACACTGCCCAACTCCTCGCTTCCCAGAGCTCCCTATGGATTTTGAGGTCAGC